GTAGAGATACGGCTTAGATTGGTCTTCACCAATCAATGCTTGTCGTAACGGTATCGGGTGGTCAGGCTCGCTGCTTTGATTGACACATGCTATCTGTCCCAGTAACGTAGATCGATGCTCATGATGTTAACCACTTGATTGCCTGTCCAGACTCGATTATATACAGACAAACGTTACATAGCTAAAAATTGCTGAGTGGGGCGTTAAACAGCAAACTCAGCATGGAGGTAGACAGGTGATTCGTCATGACATATCTTCTGGCACCTTAGATGATTTATTATTACGATCCATTTTTATCTGTAAAATATTAACATGGGTGGTACACAATAACTCACAATACGGAAGTGTAACAACAGTCTAAATACTGGATGTTGATGTCTGCATATGATGCATATATAATGAACTATTTATATTTTCTGCTTTGCGGTGAGTCATCGTATGTGAAATCGTAAGCAAAAATAATATTTCTCAGATTGCGAACATCTGTCACAAAAATGACAGCTCATCAGAGTTTTAATGATTTCTTTTATAAAAGCCGCGAATAATTTCAAAATTCCTTATGTCCATGACGGGGTTGGTTGGAATCTATACTTGTCTTTCAGATGGATAGGATTCCTGGATAATCAAGCACATATACTTTTCTCAAACATTTATACTACTAACCAAGTTATTACAGTTAGTACGTCATGCTTTGACAATTTTACTACAGAAATATACAAAATCTATCAAAATCATGAATCTCATCATCGACGTAATCGTCATCATCGAATGTCAGAATGGAGTTAACAGGCTCCAAACCCCTTTGTAGGCGAGCCCTGTAAAAACTTTCTTGTGTGACGTCATGCAGTACGGTGGATACCAAGCTTTATCTTAAACGTGGATGCTAATATTTCCGTGTTGATATATATATTTCGACTTTGTGAGTGACAAAATCAATCAAATAACTTGCCCTAAGTTTCTGAACACACATTGTCGTGCATTCTGTGTGACAACTTGCAGTGTGCGAATTAACCACTGGCCCGCTAGCCCGTGGCTAGTAAAAATCCAGTCGGACCAGTAAATCTTCACAGTCACTGGCCTGACTGGCTAGTGACTTTTCATGGGGACATATGTTTTTGGTAGTATTTTACCTTTTTGTAATCTTTTGCTTAGGTTCTACATTCAAATTTCGTGCTAGTGAATTATTTTGTGGGCTGGTAACTTTCATAGCATAGTAATGAAAATTTGGAAACCATTTCGAACACTGGTGACAACCACAGTCTAGTTTAACTGAACCAGCTATAGAGGCTGATGAAACCTAAGAGTTCTTAAATTTGATGCCAAAACAAATCAGGTATACCGGATGTCCAGAGGGATGGGGTTGACACCCTCAGTAAAAGTGTAATCAAAATGTTATTAGTTTCATATCACCTGAGTTGAACACCACATTATAAGGTACTCTGCTCAAATCCAGTATTCGCAGAATTCCTTACGAAGAAATGTGGAAAGGCACTAAAATAAACGAGCCATAATGATACACATGGGTGCCTCTCAGAACAGTTCTAAAATATATTCTCGGGCCCCGCCCTACACACACGCCCTCTGATCCGTGAAGGGGGCGGGGTGTAGGGGTCCAGTATTGTCCTCAACTACAGGGAGACCAGCTTTACCGTGGGGCAAATTGTGACCTAAATAAATCCCATCTCTTACAAACAAACACACTCTCACACACGGCTTTCTGAAAAAAATATCAAATGTTATTAAATTTGGTTAATGGCCCGAGAATAACATAAATCATGATAATAGTCCCACAGAACATATCATCCTGTCCCCCAAAGTCAAGTCGACAGCTGAGTTTCTGATCCGGTTGACATAAACATGTCTTCCTGGAGAACCTATCAGATTTGAGGAAGTTTCTTTTATTTCTAGACTCTCACAAGTTTTGTACATCATGTTATGTTTGTTATTATGAAACCTAAAGAAACAGCTTTTCCTGGATCCTCTTAATAGTTATTATTTATTTACCAACGTCATACATCGTTTAAACATTATTCCATGTCCTTTGAGGTGTTGGGATGTTATTACAAGCTGAAAATATAATGTTGTTTTGATAGTCAAAATCGCTGTTTCCACGTGCATTTTAATATGAAACTGTTTGAAAGCAGATAGCAAAGTGTACACATATATGTGTAATATGAATCAAAGTCTTTACCACATTAATATACTTCACTTGATATATAAACTGATTTTCTTTTATAAAGCTTCTTCCTTTCAATGCGGATATTTTTTGAAAGCATAGAAATACAAGCACAATTCCCTCAGCTTTTAAAATTCAATAAATAAGACAACAAAGTAACTTCTTGTCAAAACATGTACATACACACTCAAACCTGAACATGTTGCAGAAAAAGGTACAACCCGTATTATCTAATTACACCATCAATATAGAATTATCAATAATTTGTTGCATAATTATGTCTGATAGCTTCGGAAGTTATTTGTGAAAAAGGTCACGAAGATTCTGTTTCATGACCCGAGAATATATGTGGATAAAGGTGGTTATAAGCAACAATGAAGCAGTTCCTTGGTTGACAAGGGCCGACCCCTGTGTGTGGAGGAGGCCCCTAGAATCGCCTCCAGCCATAGATAAAGTTGGATAGTTTCTACACCTCCGCCTATAAACTGGCTGTGCGATTTCACACGGCAAGAAGGTTTATGGCTGTGTCATCTCTTCCTCTGGGCCTGCCTCTCTCTTTGCCTGACAACTGGTATTAAATTACTACGCGGATATCATACGAACTTGGATTATGTAAAATGTAATGTGTTAATTCTGTTAAAGTATTGATATATCATCTCTCAAAAGAAACATCCAGTCCCTACACGAGCTGTGATTTTGTTGAAAATAACATGCATGTTAAATATGTAGGATTATTTATCAAATAAATAATAATAGAAAGAATAATATATCTGTATAGAGTTAAATGCATTCACATACGTTCAGCTTAGGCATTACACACCAAACGGGTTTTAAATGTGTGCTTGGTTCAGTGTTAAATATTTTTCATAATAGTGTGAATAACTTAATGTGTTCGTTTCGTTTGGATGCACAAATATCACACAATATTATTGTAAACTCTGCCGGTACCTGTACAGGCAATTATCGGTAATTTTCACAGTATCACTTGAATGATTAGATGTTTCAGTGATGTAAGGTTTAATACGGCGATAGGCCCCTCATATCAAGAAGACAGCGTGAAAAGAGATGTCGTCTTAGTAAATAGCTTAGCTTTATCTGGTCGCTGCGCGTCAACCAGAGTTTAGACAAAGATAAAACAAGTGTTAAATTACCAGATTTGATAAGTTTGCTACTAATCTTTAATATCCGTACCTTGTTTATCGACCAAAGGCCCGCAATTCTGTGTAGCTAGAGGCTGGCCCTGGCAAGCGTATTTAGGATTCCGTGAAAGTATTGGGTCTTAGGACCTCACCCTGGTGAACTCCTTTTCAAACGCCGCATCTTTAATCCCAGGATAAACAAACTTTGCATATCAGTGTTCGTAACACACCTGCAAACCCAGGCTTTGTCACACAACATCTGATTACAACCTATTATTTTCTCTAATATTATCAAAGAAACGATTTACATTCTTTCGTCGTTTGCGATATTTCGTTTAATTTTAAACGAAACCATAATATTATCAAAATTCATTGACATTATTCAGTATCATAATGATTGAATCTAATTTTATCTGTTTGAACATGCAAAAAAATCATCTAAACATGAAACGTAATTTCGAAACAAATAAGTCTTGTGGACAATATAATGCAGTATATACCTTAAGCAATGAAAAAACTAACCAAAACGCCAATTCATTGAATTGCTACTGCTGTCTCGAAGATATAATACCTTTACCTCGTTATCTGTAAGTTGATAGCTCACTTTATGCCGAGGGCACGGTATACATTAACCGAATGATTTGTTTAATGTATAATTAAGCACGCCAACGGGTATAGATATGATATAAAATGGTATATATTTTACCAGAAAATGGTATGACGGATTATTTTCAAATAAATATCAAAATGAACTCCTAAATAACAAACATTTCGTTCACTGAGCAGGTTGTAAGTAAATCAGTCAATAATCATAACGATCCATTAAATAAATACTCAATTACAAAAAAAATGCATTTACTTCTAAATATTTTCCAGTTAATAATTATTTTAATTGTGTACCATTTGAAACTGGACTACATATAAAATAACTGAAATTGTTCACAATTGCACAAAGACAATAAAGTTATTACAGTGTACAGTGTATTTCAATCCTTCAAACAATATATTCATAATGTTAAGATGCATAGCCATCGCTAATAGAAACCAACGCCTCTCAATTCAATATTTTACGGAGCTTATAAATAAATGCTCCCTCGAATCCCTCAACACATTCGATCAGCAGATCACATTACACATCTTAGAACCAGTTTCTTTCTATATATAGATGACGTGACAGACCGTTGCATGTGTACGTCAATGTTCAGTCATACGTTTTGCTGATAAAATAGACGTTTCAGGACAACTAAAGGCATGACCTGTGTGCAAGGGTTTCTTCATGCTCCATTCTTTATAACGTCGCTTGCCAATCAATGAACGGAAATTGTACCCACTTGCTAAGTTGTAAGACATATATCCATTTGGTCTTTCAATGCTCACAAAACTAGTAAAACACAGAAAAAATATGTTAAAAACCACGAAGTCTAAAGACTTGTGATATGTTCATGGTGATTCAATGCTTTTTTGACAATGGTTACGAAACGGGACTGAACCTTGCCCTGCGTAATAAAGGCTGACAGAAAAATTAGTTAAATGTTTTAACCCCAAAGTTCCTCTTTTCAGTCATATTAATGGAGCATAATTAACCGCGACAATTCTAACACCAAGAAGAAATTTAATCTTTTGTTGTTCCCTTGCTGGAGTGTCTAATGTAGCGTTGTCTGAGTATTCATAACTCTTTGTTGCAGGCTAAGCCTCCTCCACTCGACGCAATGACAGGAAGTTGACAGAATAAACCAATCACTGGCTGGACAAGAAGGCACGTGACTTCTCTCAGGTATGGCTAATTCAATATGTCAGTTGACATTGGTTATAAAGTGAGCATTATACCATATTTCGCACAGTGACAACAACGTGTGATTAATTAGAATGCACTACACCCTTATATGTAAAATGGGAAATTTCCTTTTGTAAGATTGATAACTTTTTTTGGCTGACAACAATCCTCGTAACCCATCAGAAAACAAGTCATGCCACTCTACAAGCTTTACCACTCAGTTTTGCCAAGTGAATGGTAAATGTGACCACAGGTTCGTTCCTAATCCCCGACTGTTAATTGTTTATGTTAAGTTAATTATCATGTCCGTGATACAAATGAATGGCCCATTCACCATAACCCTCAATGTCTCGCCATAGCGAGGTTATCTGGTTGCACGCGTAAAGAGCAGAGTGAAATACCCACGTCATTTCTGCGGTACCACGCCAACAAGATATGACAATATAGAAAAGCGTAGATAATGTCTTGACCACGAGACTGCCCGCGTGATGTAAGAGTAGCTGGGAAATATATACGGAAATAATTGACAGATCACGCATGGCTATTTACATACACCTCCATTCAGGAGGCTGGAGACTTCTTTGAATTGCGAGATAATGTACAATGTATAACATTGTAATCTTTATAGAGAAATGTCACCCTATTCCCACCGAATGCAGTTGTAATCGGTTATTCAATGTCTAGAAGTGCCCAAGTGACAAGTCCCTATTCCAAAAATGATCTCATCGTGTTTTATTTCTGTTTTAGATATATTTTCTGAGCTTATTGCACAATGTTAATAAGTGACATGATCATCCACAGCAACAGTTATAGCTCTTCAAAGGTTATATGCATGTAAAAAGCATGAAAATGACATTGATTTAATATAGCTATTGTTGCAAAAATTATGTTATCTGAAATATACATACTCCACGGAATATAAAAAAATAAATTGGTAGTTGCTAATGACGTCTCATTAAGGTCTCTATTCCACTTAACCACAATGCCGGATCGAAGGTTCGTTTTTGTCTCATCAACTATTATTATGTTCTTGGCTTGTGTGGAGAAATCTGGATGTGGACAATAGACTGAGTCAAGTTCGTTACGGTTGTTGTGTGAGGGTATTTTCACAAATGTATTCTTCCTCGTGAAAAGGTTAAAGATAATTACTCAATTTATGTCTAAAAATATCCATTAATACTTTCTTCTGAACTCATGTCAATTTCTGTCTCCTGCATCCAGAAAACGTACATTCCATTTCATGTAAATGAGTACAGCTATTTACATAATTACGGTAAATATTCACTAATTGTGAATACACTGTTGTCCGTTTCTTATCGAACAAAACTATGACACATATTGTTCGCAGGGTACAGAGTGGCACATGATGTTACTAATTACTGAACAATGACCTTTGTGGTTCCTCTAGGCATCCTCTGCCCACCAGGTTGTCAATATTGCCAATATTGTCTAACCATATCACTGTACATATTTGGCCTAAATCTGATATCGCTACTGTCACACAGACACACGTTTGAAGGTGTTGCATAAGATGAGGAGGCTGTTGAAGGGGCATGGTCGCTGCTAGGCAGGGTTGCTTCCCAGTGTGGCGTTACATTGATGCAATATGAGATAAATGATCATGATGGTCACTGGAACACAATAACGTATGCATAATCGCCGATATGTTGTAACATACACAAGGAAGGCATAAAGCAACGCATCATCATCAATAAACTTGGTAGTTTCTGATTAAAATTTTTGAGTTCTACCAAAAGTTCAAATATCATCTTGGTGTTTTTAAGAGCTTCTGTAGGGCCGTTTTAATAACACAGTGAACAAATATTTTCTATTGAAATCAAATTCTGTAATCATATTGATATTATTCGGATCCTCTAATCACGTTCCATTGCATTCCCCTTTTGACCAGAACGTGGCATCGTTCGAAAGTCCAAACTGAAACAATATCATGCACACATCAATAAAATCCAATCATGTGTGAAATGACACATAAAACAAGCTGTTTCACTACTGCAGTCATTATCTGCTATAAACGACCTGGTGCTTTTGTTATTTAGTCAATGTTTGACCACAGCTGTAGTTCCAAGCGTACTGTACAGTGTTAAGCCACCGCTGGAACACTTCAGTTAAGGGCCTCAAACGCCTGAAAATTGTTCACCATCTCTGATGATTTAAACAGGGATTTTTAACAGGAGGTTTTTTTAACAAAGTAATATATGCTCCAAGCAGTTACACAAATATTAAACATTTTCATGGTTTTCGCGCTGTTTGCTATTAAAGGTCGTGACAACGTGATTAAGTAATCTCTAGAATCTCAACAGTCCTGCTTCTTTCACAAACCGTAGAAGCTTTTCATTCCCTGACATTCCTGAACATAAAATTTACTTATGTTATGAGATGTTCCGGTAAAACAATCAAGTGACGCGCAGGAAAGACATATGTATTTGGGCGGTTGCCTTTGAAGACTCCTAAAAGGTGTTGCCGTGTTAATTTATTACTATTATGACAATCAGTATATGGCTTGAAGCTTTCAGGGTTGTCTAGCGTAAATCAACCTCCAGATTTCGTCCCGAAATAATTTAAGGTTCTAAGATGGCTTTGCTCCCTAAGGTTCCTCATTACGTAGGTTTAACCTATGCCACGTTAAACACTTCTACACCACCTTGTAAGTACCTCGATACAGTCGGAGCACGTCCTCCAGCTTTGTCAATGTCAGGCTGAACAAAATACTGGATTATAAATGTTATTAAAAGATTGAAACTTTTGAACACAAAGTTGAACCTGCTTTTTTTCGGTAGTGCTACTGGGTGCTTGAAAAAGCCAGAGACCTTGTCAGTGTCATGGTGAGGATCCTTCACTTGTTGCTACTGACGAGCAGAGGTCTATTATTGACAGGAGGTTCGCCCCTGCGTCATGGTGTTATATTAACAGGTCTTCCTTGAGGCTCATTATATCTGCTAATTGTAACTCTTATCAATTTATAATTAGAGAGCAGACACGGCCAGGGTCATGAACTGCTGAGAGCCTCGATAGGCACACCAAGCACATCTCTCCAAGACCAGCTGCTGAACTGGAAACGTTGCCCATATCATACTTTACACAAACTCCACCAGAACAAATAGTTTAGTATGACACCCTTGCCCTCTTCTACCACTGACCCACATCGCGTGAATGTCCCATTACACATTTGTGGACACTGGGATATGTGCACATGAATGTATGATTGCTTTGGGTTCATTGTTTCGACATAATGTAGAGTTAATATTTAATATATCTGAAGAGTAGCCCGAGTGAACAAAATACTCCCCGTTCTAGTTATACATGAGCATACACGTGTTGTCGAAGCCTTTGCGAGCAGTTTCAATGTTCTCTCGTGTCATCATGGAAGTTCCTGGATGACATTTCCACTTCTCAGCCTGTATGTATGTCGTCAGTCTGACCTCCTTGGATATAGTGTCCAGTTATGTCTGCTATGTGCCTGTCGTGAGTCTGACACCCCCATGCTGTGCACTGATATGTGCGTGTGGCGATACTGACTATATATCCTCTTCGTGTGATCGCTTCTGGCCAGTAACACGAACCCTGGACATCGGTCTCTGACAGGCGTGTCCAGTCGTGAAATGGCCGAAAGGGGTCGTTTCTTGGGCATACGAGATCATAGTTACCAGTGATAGGGGCACTTGGACAATACAGGCGCTGATCTGGAACTGGAGGTTGAAGAAGGAACCCGTAGGGAAGATTGTGTTGGGTCGGTTACAACCAGCGACTCTTGGCCAAGATACTTTGAAATATCTCTGGAATTCCATCCCTCATAGATGAACATCCTTAAATGCAACCCTTGAAGTCAGATACTTTTAGCAGGATCATTTACTCTGACTATCAGGATGACAGTTCTACCAAACAAGTAATAAACTATGGCTTTATCGTTTTATTGTAACAGATGTAATCCCAAGTTCTTAAAAGAGATCCTGATAACATCTCTCAAATGTTTGTGTGATATATTGATGTAACTACGGTAGTTGTCTGAACCCAGTAAATCACTGACAACATCTCTCTGTGTGTTGGTCAGTTTACATAGATGATCCCTCTTGATCCTATGTGCTCATTGCGTGGCTTGGGTCTAGTGGATCTGCCTAACCCTGAGCACAACAATCCAAGGTTTCAACTGGTCAGCTCTCGGGTGACCACAACTCTATATCATTTACCCCAGTGCTTCTGCTCAACAAAAGCCCTCGTGGACACAAGTCATTGTTGATTCAGTGCTATTGAGGTGCCACTGGGAGTCTTTTATGGGAATTTATTATCAGGAAGCATTAATTAAAGATCATTGCTGGATTACACCGGCCCATAAGTGCCATTGTTTTTACCATCTACTCCAGCTAATGGTTAAGCTTAGAGTACAAATTTCCCAGGGCTGTGTTGAAGAAAGGTCTACCGTGTATTTGACAATGATCAGTTCTAGGAGGAATCGTAACTTTCACCTCATCCACAGCATCTTATGACAAACATAATAACAACGACATGTAGATCAATTATTTTTTTAATACACAGTTGATACATGAGCAGCTTCGAACATTCTGCTGCGGTAAGCCCGATGATCCGCCTCGCATTTTTCTTCACAAGAAAGTGATGAGGAATTTGGTTCAGTGTTACAGTGTGATGGGGATTGCTGCCAAGAAGAATCAGAAACAGGTTTCCTGTGTGGAGTGTTACCCCGTGTCTGTATGACGGGACCCTGTCAGTGAGCCATCTCCCTGTCCCTGTTACCTTGACAGTCCATGAATCAGAGGGGTCAGCACCACAGCCACTATCACTTTTCAGTGTCGACTCACCCCACCTGGGGGTTATGTATGGCTAAGCAACACGTGGGAGATGGGACGACTGTTGAAGATGGATGAAGATCTCAATTGCATGGTTACTGGACGACTTCGAGAAGGTGCACAAGAACTTCCATAACCCCAAGTCCAATGTTGTTCTAGAGGGATGGGCACGAGGAGTCA